GAATCCCCAAATAAATTGTTGCATTTCATCTGAATGTAATTAGAACTTCTCAACAAATTAATTAGCTTTTCATTTATACCAAAGCAGCTGTCTATAATGTAATTTCAGTTTGGTAGGCAAGTACTTGGAGTCAATGTACAGAATATACAGAATGGAGCTGATGATTTTTTTGAATTTTTGATGATAATTAGAAATCTGGGGCATTTACGTTGTCAACAGAATCCTGAAGGAATAACCATTTCCAGCTGTTTTATAACTCATTGAGCTTATTACTTGACATTATTGTGATATGACATCAAAATACTATATTTTAAAGGTACATACCCAACAAATGAAATGCATGAGGAATGTCATATGAAAGCAAAGTAGTTATGAAATTAATTTACAGTTTCATCCTCTATTACTGAATAAACACTACTGATAATAGTTAACATAGATTAGATTACACCTGTACAATTATTTCAACATATACACTGTGACAACATATTTTACAGCACTCTACATTGAATATAACAAGACAAATAAAATCTAACAATATGTCACAGTGGTGGAGGCAACCCAACACACTTAATATACCAGAGCATTTGTTAGAGAGCGTATTACCAGTCCTTAGGTTTGCTGGACTTAACGCAAGAACCAAAAAGAGAATAGACAAATTACTTGCTGAGGTCAAAGACAAAAGAGGTACAAGTGATGTGCGTCACTGTCTCAAGTGTGGCAACAGCATGTAGCATCCATCATTAAATTGAGGCACATGCATTGCTTGTCAGAATGGCATTGTAGCAGAGCACAGATGCCAGACAGATGTGGGGCCAGGGAATATTTGCATAAATGACGTGGAACCAGGCGGAGGAGGCAGGAGTAGACAGATACTGTGACACAAAAAATAGATTTGATATATGGGGACAGTAGGTGAAAAGGGGAGTTTTTTTTTTTTTTGAAGGACTGCAGAGATGGTGAGAGTCAGATGTGACTTGGGAGGGTATTCCATAAGGAAGATTTACTTGGATACAATACTTCACTACAACCAGACTATTTAATAACATAGATAAAATATACCGTGCCACAAATATATCAACAAACACATCGTTCCAGTATCAAATAGGGGTTCAATTTTCAAGCCCTCTACCACTTATGAGCAGTGAATGGTATCAAGGAAAATACAAAAACACTTGACAAAAACAAAGACATGATGGGATAGGTTCAATCGTTTTCGGTAGTGAGGAAGAAAAAAAGAGTACATTTTTCCTCAGTAAGAAGATGGTGTGATTAGTGTTGCAGAGATACAGGAGGGGGAAGGATGGAGCTGAGATGCGTTTTTGGAGAATATAGTTTTTTTTTGTAAGATTTGCAATTATGTAGCACAAAGTAACAGTTGTTAAAATCCAATAAAATAATAGAAAATAAGTAACATCCGCTCAGGGCTGGTGCAAGGATTTTTAGCTACACAGCCCCCACCCCCTCCCCCGCAAAAAAAATAAAAATGTGTCTCCACCTGTGTGTCTTGAAAACCCCCTTTTGAATTTTGTAGCCCCTTTAGTGTTTCATATCCCCTCTTTTGAATGTCTTACACCTTTTGCACTTTAGTGTATTTTATTCCCCCTTTCGTGTATCTTACACACAAAACACCCCTCGTGTGTGTGTTTCTTTCTTCCCCCTGCCCCTTTGTATGTCTCTTACTTCCCCGCAGCCCCTTTGTGTGTCTGTTACCCCCAGCTCCTCTCTGTGTCTCTTTCTTACCCCACTCCCCTTCTGTGTCTCTTTATCTCCTCAGACACTTTCTATGTCTCCTCTCAGTCCGTTTTGCATGTCCCTCCCATCCAGGTCCATTTGTGTGTCTTTCTTCCCAAGCCATGTAGACATAGATATGCATGCAAAAATACATACGTTCACAAATACACAAACATACAGACAAACAACCATAAAGGCATACAATCAAAAATACATAATCATTCAGAGACACAGACACAGAGACATACAGACACACGGAGACAAACATACCTATATACAGATGTACAGGCATACAGAGACATACAAGCATACAGAGACACATAGGCATACAGAAACATACATACAGAGACATACAAGCATACAGAGACACACAGGCATACAAACACATACAGGCATACAGAAACATACATACAGGGACATACAGGTATACAGAAACATACATACGTACATACTGAAACATACATACATACAGAGACATACAGGCATACATAAACATACATACAAAGACATAAAGGCATGCAGAGACATACATTCATACATGCAGAAACATACATACAGAGACATACAGAGACATACATACATGCAGAGACATGCATACAGAGACATGCATAAACATACATACAGAGACATACATACATATTGGTACATACAGAGACATATATACAGAGACCTGCATCCGCACACCAATAAACTTACTTCGCTATTAATGTGGTTTATTTTAAAACTGAGGACTGTAGAAAGTAACCACCTCACAAGTTTGATAAAGGCTTCCTTCCTGAAATATCATTCCTATCACCTGAAATGTTACTGATGTATCAGTG